TATTCTATTCTATTCTATTCTATTCTATTCTATTCTATTCTATTCTATTCTATTCTATTCTATTCTGTTCAATTCTGTTCAATTCAAATATATCCTTTTATTCCTATTTTCTTTTTTTAACTTATTTTTTTATTTTATATTTTATAATATCATACGCTCTTTTATTTCATTTACTTTTGGTTTACCTACATTTTCTTATATTCACTTTTCCTTCAATTCCATTAAGATATATTCAGTTCTTTTCAATCATAAGATTCTAGGCCGGTTCAAGTGAATCCTGGAATGTCTGTCCTATTTCGCCACACAGCCATATCAGCTGAGCATAGGGCGAGTCTAAGTTTTACGGCAAGCTTGGCTTCTCCCATATCATATTTCTTAATCTGATTTGCTGATGGGAATTTTTGCCATTTCATTCAGTTTCGCTACTTATATTCTATGAGGGTAGATTTGTAGACTATTACTCATTATTGAGTAAGAACTGATACTGACCATGTATTCGTGTGTGTGCCGTGCACACCTGAGGTCGGAGTATCCGGGTTGGTGTCCAATTTGCTAGGCTTTTTGAGATTGATAGATTAAGGAAACTCAGCGCAAAAGTCACGCCCTGTCCCAAATTAGTTTTGGCTACTTTCCTTTCTCGGCCCTTGAATTGCTGAGCGTCTAGTATGCAGGAAGAGGGAGATGACTTAAAAATCGCAAACAAATTTGTAGTGAATTTGGGCAATTAAAGTCGTCTTCGAGCTATACTAGCTGTCTTCGAGATAGATAAGGTGAAAAACACACATTTTATATCTGTCATAGCCTCAGTACCGAAGCTTGCGGATGTCCATAAATGACTACCTTAGATTCAATAGAGGTCAGTGTTCTGCGATGGGCGGTACAACTACGTTCATAGGCCTTGCACCTTTTCCTGTTCCATCTACAATGCACCAAAATGCCTGATTTCCAAGAAGATTGCCACAAGTCACAAAACAACCCTAGCAAGCTCTAAAGTTATGCTATCCTGATCTGTCTTCTAAAATAATTTTGGACAGGAAATTTACGACACAACGATGGATATAATTCCTTATTTTTGAGGTTTTGTAATAATATATTAAGGCAAAATAATAAAATAGAAAGAAGCATGATACAGATCGCGGTTTCGTGTTAGCCGATGTTCAAGGGAAGATGAAGTGAGAAAACGGCGAGGGAGGTAACACGGAATGTGTTACCGTTTTTTTATGCAAAATGGCGACTTATGATTAGCTGATTTTCGTGGTTTTTCCCCTTTTCGTTCGATTCTCTGCCCCTCAGCAGCCACTTTGGGATGTGATCTTGAACACAAGTGGCCAGCCTCGTCGTTCTACGCCGAGTGAGGTGGCGATGATCCTAGCTTTATGTGAATCGGTAGGCAGGGCTCGAGTGGGCTCCGGTCGGGAGGGTAGCGATCCTGGCGAACTGGCAAGAGGGACTGGTGTGATTGAGGCGAAAGTGTTAGCAAGTGGTTTCTTGCTCCGTTTGCTCGTCTGCCTTGTGTGGATATTCGTCAGCAGTCTCGCTGTACTCCTCGATATTGCATTCATGGCAACTGCTCTTCATTACATTGCCACCGTACTAAGTTTAAACTCTTCTTTTTAGCAGAATTCTGCTAATGGACGCAAATTCATGTTCAGGCTGCTTTCAACGACCCATTAAAACAAAACAAGTTTCTGAGCCATGCAGAAAGGTTAATGTACCGCCCCACTCCTGACTACTTGTATCTCAAACAAGTAATGCCCGGGTAATGTTGTCAACGAGAACAGAAGGCAATCGAACAACCGGAGCAAGAAGACACTTGCCAACACTTTCACCTCAGTCACACGAGCTCGTCTTGCGCGGCCCGCCAGAATCGCTTCCCTCCCGACCAGAAAGCAGATGCTCAGTCTCGCCCATTTGAGTCATGCCTACCGTCTTGGGTTCAAGAGCACACCCTATATTGGCCGTTGAGGGACAATGGATCAAACGAAAATAGCGAAAACCAGCTGGTCCCAATTGAGCAGGAGTATAGGCCTGTTGACCATCCTAGAATATTAGGTTGCATAAATCCCAATTTAGTATCCTAAACACACACTTCTTGTACTTGACCCCATTCTGGGCAATATTCCTTCTGCCAGCTGTTTTCCCACCTCAACTTCTCTTTAGCATCGGGTAACCAGAAGCCCCCAACTGCATTATGCTTCTTTATATTTTACTTTTTTCTATTAAATCACCACCTCAAATTGAATTATTAGTTTGGCCTCCGTCATTGGCTCAACGGGCTGATCAGGTTGGCATAGCTTTAGAGCTGGTTAGGGTCATTTTGACAACGGGTAAATCTGTCTTTTTGAGAATCTGGCACTGTAGGGTATTGTACCAACCTTTCCTGTACTTGACCCCACCTTGGACCCCACTTTAACTATAATCATCAAAAACGTGTGTGTGTGTGTTCGTGCTTGCATATAAATATATATACCCCCCAGTACGTGTTATGTTTCTGGATAGCCTAAAAGTGCATCATACTTCCTCAAGCCCTTTTGTCTTGCTCCTCAAAATACTCCTTATCCCAAACATTGGATTTTAAACTGATTCTAGGCATGGCAAAGATATACGGGCCGTACTCGCCCTATTTCGTATAAGCTGATGAATTGAATTTTTCCAAAATCATACTATTTTATTAAATTACACATAGCCTCGCTTTCCAAAAAGCATTCTCATCCAGATTGGAGTGGAATGCAGTTTCGACCTGGCTTAGGTCTCATAAGCACCCCAAGTAGGTCTTGAACCCGGGTTGTGGTAGTGCACTGTATAATCTCGGCACACTAACCACCACGCCACACGGTCAGGAGGGCCCCTGGATCACAGAGAAGATGTGAATTTCAAGCAGAACTAGGCCTTTCCATTTCACCTTCTTGTGATGGGATTATCGACGAAGTAAAGCAGTCGACCATACTACCTATTTTACGTGTTCTCGAGAACCTACTTATGATACGAATAATGACGAAGAGCCGCCACTTTGGTAAATTGTGGACATTAATTTTCCTCAGTGTAGCTAGCGTTGGATTAGTATGCACCATTTCAAGACTCACATTTATGCCGTGGTTTTTATAGCCATTCTCTGCAAATACAGATTCAATCATCTCCTAAAATATAGTACGATATTCAAGCTTCCAACGTGCACTGAGGACAAATTCGAGACCTGAGGGCCTCGAAAACAGATGAAATAGTGAATCGTTAGCTGGTTTCAAATCTGTGCCTAAATTGTTAAGCCTCTACTTTGGTGTCGTCTTGGTGAAGATACGATGAGTCTGCCTTAGGCTGAATTTGGCACAATTTGTGTATCATGCAGAGGGGGGGTCGGATGCATGGGTCGAAAGTGGATGGTCTAGCCTGAGGTGGCACAATGCAAGCTGCAATGCGATGGAACAACTGAGCTTCCTCTCAAATTCACGTTGACTATCTAAAGTATTAGGGTTGCATGTACATAATATGTTACCGATTGTGTCACTTCCGCGAACTTGCAATTCTATACACTGCAAGTAATTATGCTATTTGTGTTTTATATGGCTTTCAAGTTAAATCGAACTTTATTTTAAATATTCTTATGAAATTTTCATCATTAACTGAATGTAATTAGTACAAATTGTCCTAGAACTAATCTATTTTAAACAGAAGAGGGAGGAATGTTTTAAGAATTAATTATACGCCATTTAACTGATTTACTGGCAGTCTCAAAACTCGAAGA